ATCAATCGACCATCCATATACACAACTACACATTCATTCAGACACAACAACAATTACGGAAAACACAATCGGAAAACGAAAAAATATTCAGCATCCAAAAGAGAACTGACATTTTTACTCACCTAATGAGGGAGGGGAATTAAACTAAAAAAAAAAAATGGGATAAAAAATAAAAGGGACCATTGAGCATACATCCCCTAACAAAGTTAACTTGGCATAATAAAATAAAAAGCAAAAAGCCGAAACTAAGCTATTTTGGGCGAGGTTGCCATTGTTTAATACAAGGTTCTCAAGTAGACATCTACGCAGACGACACTACCACTTACTCTTGTCCCAATAGCAAATTCAGCATTGCTGACAAAAATTAACCTGCCCATTGGTATCGAAAAGGACCTCCAATCTGTAGACGTCTGGGGCAGGAAATGGCTTGTAAATTTTAATGCCTCCATAACGAAACTGTTCTCATTTACCACCATAGAGACAACTCCATGCCTCCTAACAGTATAAGTGATGCTCAACTTCACGACAACGTCTCACTGCGCATTCTTGGTCTCACGTTTTCCCCTGACCTGAGGTGGAGCAACTACATTGAATCAATAGCTGCATCGATCGCAAGGAAAGTTGTTTCTCTGTGTCGCACCAGAAGGTTTTTCTCATTTGAGTCCATCCTTCAAATCCACAAATCTACCATTCGTCTTTGCATTGAGGACCATTGTCAAATATGGTCTGGGCCCCCCGCTGTTCATTTCGAGGTTCTCGACAAAATCCAAAGACAGATATGCAATATGATCCGTCCTGACCTGGCATCTCGACACCAGCCACCTTTTCACAGACGTGCTGTGGCTTCCCTCTGTCTTTTCTACAAATATTTTCAATGGCAACTGCTCTGACGAGTATTTTTACTGGTGTCCCAACTGCATGAATTTAAGCGTGCTACTAGGTTGGCATCTCGATCCCATCCTTTTACTGTCGAAACAGTTAAATGTAACCGCTTCTTCTATTCCAATAGCTTCTTCTCTCGCACTTCCCGACAGTGGAACTCCCTTCCTCTTACTTGCTTTCCTGATAACTATAATCTTCAAAAATTTAAATGTAATGTCAACCGACATTTTCTGATGCCTTGATCTTGATTCCTGTTCTTTTTTTTTGTCCTTTCCCTCAATACCCACTCTTTTCTCTTACTTTCACTCTCTGTAACCCCTTGCGTGCTAATGGCACGCCTGCCTTTCTTGGGGTGAAAAGAGAAAAAAAGCCTTCCCAATATCATGATGGAATTGTGCTGCTAATGCTTTAGCAATGGTAGGTGATATTGTATATATGCCAGATCTATGGCTAACTGTAGAGAAGTGTGAGGTCAGAGCAATTTAATTACATTTTTTTCTTAGTGATTTATTATCTCTTTTGCATGGACCGAAATCTTGTCGAGTACGAAAAGTGCCTCTCCTGAAGAAATCAAGCATGGAAATGAGTCTAAAGATTGCTACAAATCATGTAAGCGCTAACCTACTGGCAAATACTCTTCGTCTAATGAAACCAGAATGGACTTATCTGGCCTGAACTTGCATAATCAGATTTGGGGAAAGGAGAATAGTAATTCATGCCAGAGAACACCGTCCCAGCTCGTAAGGATGAAGACGACAATACAATGATATGGAGTTAGTAAAGGACGACTTCACATAGTCGAGGGCAGAATGAAAAGTGACATATACTGAAATACATTGAACAGGGCCATGTTGATAATGTGTTAAAAATGAAACGTCAATAGGTATTTCAGCAGGAAAGCGATCCTAAACATACCGCCAATGCGACCAAATTGTTGTCTGAAAATAAGAAAATAATTTTTAAAAAAATGGCGCAGTTAGTCCAGAGACGGGAGCTCAATTGAAAATTTGTGTCCATGCTCATCAACTTAGTAATTCGAACGAACGAAAGAACATCTGATATGAAGGATGCTACAAAAGACCAAGAGAAGAGTGTTCGAAATTAATTGTTACTGACAGGAAGATTCTTCTAAGAAGTGTTAATCTTGGATTCAGCTTTTGGAAGGGGTTTGAATGTTTTTGTTTTTTTTTTACATCCGTTTATTTATTTATTGAACATTTTTTTTATTTAAGGTTCTGCTTCATTGAACAAATTTTTACTTCATTGAATATTTTTGAGTTATCTTTTTGCTTTATTGAATACTTTTCTGCTTCATTGAATACATTTTTGCTTCATTTAATACTTTTGTTTCATTGAATAATTTTTGAGTCATGTTTGTGCATTAATAAATACATTTGTATTCATATTTTTGCTTCATTGAAAACATTTTTGTGTCATGTTTTTGATTCATTGAATACGTTTTGAGTCATATTTTAGCTTTATTAAATACTTTTAATTTATGTTTTTGCGTTATTAAATACATTTTATTCGCATTTTTTTTGCTTCATTGAATACATTTTTTCAGTTATGTTTCTGCTTTATTGAATACGTTTTCGATTCTGGCTTTTGCTTCATTGAAGACTTTTTAATTCATTTTTTTCCCTAAATTGAATACTTTTTGATTTGTGTTTTGCATTATTGACTAATTTATAATTCATGTTTTTGGTTCATTGAATACCTTTTGCACCAACTTTTTGTTTCATCACACACACACACACACACACACACACACACACACACACACACACACACACACACACACACACACACACACAGTTCTAATTTTGATTAATCCTCGTCGTCAAAATGTAGTAACATAGGGAAGGTTACAGAATAGATTAATCAAACGAAGGTTGGTAATGAACGATAATACTTAGGACAAGAACAATACATATAAGATTCGCTAGCGGCGCTTAGAAGAAGTAGTCAACTGCTAGAAGTAAGTCAAGTGAATTTCAGAATGAATCTCCAAATGAAGGATATCTACCAACCGCTCCACGCGGTCAACTGTGGCACAAGGCTGAATTTAAAAAATTCCCTGTAGACCCCGTATAAAATGGGATCAGGTAGCTGTTTGCCGAGACGAGACTCTGTCCTTCGACATAGCCTCGTTTGGGGATCATCTCTGCCCGGAGGGGAGAGAGTTTGACCAGCACAGCTGGAGACGAATCTCAACTGCAGACCAACATACAGTATTTACTACTGTATTTATGTGAATGTGGACATACACATTGTCGTCCGTAGGTATGCTAACACACACACACACACACACACACACACACACACACACACACACACACACACATATATATATATATATATATATATATATATATATTTCGTGTATCCACTAAATATAACATTTAATAAGATACGAAATATTATCGGGTTATAAATAAAATCCATTAATTCTGTCGAAATTACGAAAATAAAACGTTAGCAGATATGGGCTTCTTGGGATCTGAACTAGAAATGTGCATATGACCGTTTTTTTTTTTTGTTTTGTTTTTGTTTTTTGTGTGTGTGCGTGTGTGTGTGTGTGTGTGTGTGTGAAATACCATTGATTACTGATGAGTTGGCAGATTAGTTAAGAGAGGTTTATCTTTGGATTTGATGCGTTTTTTTTCTTTTTTTTTTTTTTTTAAATATAACCATTTATTAACATGAACGTTTGTGTAAAGAGATTTGACATCTAAATTAGTCACGAGTTTATCTGTCATATTTATTCCCCTTAATTTTTCAATCAGATTGCATGTTTTATTAACATGTTATGAGCGTATTGTTCCGAGGAGTGATGTTAAAATGTTTGCTATGGCTTTTCGCTACCAATATTTGGTGTAATGGGGCGTATCGGAATGCCTGCTTTGTGGGTTTTAGGTAAACCATAAATTTTGGCTATTCTAGGGTGATTTTCAATGAATTTATAATATGATAAACTAAAATTACTCTGATAAATATTTGTTTATATTTCCAAGATGAGGTATTATGACTATTTACACTATTTACATTGTTCGGACTGTTATCCTCATCTTTATTGTCGCATTCACGAAGTTTCGGCCGTTGTACACATCGTCTGTTGCCCTGACGACCAAATTCCACATAATCTGAATCCCATTGAGCCATCATGGGACATGCTGAACAGATAAATTTGTTCTACAAAATAGGGATCATATAATTTACAGTTAAAATCCTTGCACCAAATCTCAGAGGTCTTGGATTTAGGCCAGATTGAGTAGGAAGTACTTTGTGGCCATATTGAGGACGATCACCTTATTAGGCTGGTTATCATAATCTTTTGCCAGTGAATACATTATACACTTATAGACCCGATAAAGGCGGGGAAACGGATATTCATTTATTTATTTTAAAGAAACGTTCGTGATGAATAAAATTTCACAGTTTATTAGTTTTGCACCGTTTGACACATTAAATAATTCTATCTATCTATCTATCTATCTATCTATCTATCTATCTATCTATTGTTCGTATCTATCTATCTATCTATCTATCTATCCATTATCTATCTATCTATCTCGCATGTTGTATCTATTATCTATCTATCTATCTATCTATCTCTCTATATTTTGCACTGTATCTATCTATCTATCTATCTATCTATCTATCTATCTATCTATCTATCTATCTATCTATTTCGCCCTGTTCGTATCTATCTATCTATCTATCCATTTCGCACTGTTCGAATCTATGTTGCACTGTTAGTATCTATCTCTCTACATATCTCTCTATTTTGCACTGTCACTATCTATCTATCTATCTATCTATCTATCTATCTATCTATCTATCTATCATTCCTTCGTTTAATTACATATATTTACATGCATCTGATTCATATAACACTCTTGTATGCCTTACGTTATTTTAAAATCAAAAGAAATATATTAACGTAATCGTTCTTTCATTATTACACACTTTGATTTTTGCTACAATGAAAAAAAATCGGTGAAATGGTTTGAATTTTTTTAGCCATGGTTAATTGCTGAACAACATGACTAACACGAAATTACACACTATATGACATCAAACACACATACGCACACACACAGAGACATATCTATCTATCTATCTATCTATCTATCTATCTATCTATCTATTCTATATATATATATATATATATATATATATATATTTATTTATTATATATATATATATATATATATATATATATATATATATATATATATATATATATATATATATATATATATGATGCTTAATTATGCCCTGCCAGCCAACATCAGTGAGCAGCACGCTAAATGGGAGTTAATGCGTTTTCAAGATATGTATTTATTTGTATCCCGGAGTTTGGAACTTGGGCTCTCATTTCACGTATATTTGTTATAACGGCTGATTAAACACTAAAACGTCTCCTATATTTATTTCGAGATGTATTTTCTGTTCAACGCGCATACACGCATGCGCAAACCCGCTTTTATACGCACATTCGCACTCAAAAACGCACGCATCCACTCAAAATCTTATAAAGACGCACCAATAACATATATTCACACACATTTCATATAAGTTCTTATCCTCCATCCTTCACTCATCTGTTTATTTATTTATTTTTTAAAATTCTAAACTCCTTTCATCTGATGAATAGGAAAAAAAGACAACTTTTTGGAATACGTTTCCAATACAGTTTATCTGGTATGTACGTTAAATTTTCTAGCCAGACGTTTATGGTTCTGAGTAAGGAAGTGGCATTTATACTTCTAAAATAAATAAATAAATAAAATATTAAAAAAAAACGCTGCTTTCGACCTTAATTGTACAATCTGCATGCGACAAATCTCAAATCATCGTTTTAAAAGAAAATCTATCCAATATGCAAATTACAAATTTGAGATGCCAAAATCAAGCAGATGCAACAACTTAAATATCTGGGATATGATATGAGGACGAAAAGTGAAACGCCTAAATCCAAAGGCGCATGAGGATAGAGAAAGATGTCTTCCAAAAGCAAAGCAACGTATTAAGAAACAGGAAAATTTCGATAGAAACGAAGACAAGAGCACTGAACTGTTTTGTAATATCACTTCTCCTATGTGGCAGCGAATGTCCTCACAGATGAAGAAAATATTTCAGGCAACAGAAATGCGGTTCTACAGAAGATTGCTGAGAATACCATGGTCTGATCACGTGAGCAAATTTCTAGAGCACATAATGATGAAAGAAGACTCGGGAAATTTGACACTCACAGGAGATAAGTAAGGTAAGAGTGACAGATGGATACAGCTCATTACCTACTTGAGCTTTTGTAAATGGATTGCAGAACAACATTTACTAAGAGCTACTAAAGACAGGAAATCGTGGAGAGCGATGATCGCCAACGTCCTGAAGGGTTAAGGCACGAAGAAAAAGAAGAAGAAGAAGAATATATCTACGTGTATAGATTACAGTAAAAAGTGCATTTAAAATGGACTATTTTCGTGCTTCATCAGTGTGACAGAGAAAGCCAAAATGCCACCCATGTAAAGGTTAGAAACTAGTCCAATTCTCCGTAGTGACTCCACTGATCTGAGCTGTTATCACTGAACTCGTCATCTGATGAGATTTGTGTATATTAGAATTCAAGGCACCTATTTTGCAAGCACTTATTCAGTGATCGATGGTGACACAGCCTCAAAATAATCATTGTAATGCGCAAAATGACCAAATGACCAAATGTACGTTTTTCAGCAAGAAGAACAGCTTTAGATGTGTCGGAGATATCAAAATCAAACAAGTATATTAATTCAACTATCTGAAAGACAATGGAAAATGTAATGCAGTAGGCGCGTTTGAATACCGATCAATGCCTTCCAAAAGGTAAAGTAACTCGTACATTCGAGCCATCGCTAAAAGTTCAGGTAAAATTGTCGGCTCCCTGTACCGCCCCAGTAAGTACCAGACTCCCCATGCTATTCTCTACCTTTACAAGAGCCAGATGAGGCAAAAAATGAAATTACATTTGTCATATTTGGGTGGGAGCTGTTCAGACTGAACTCCCAAGTCTCAAAAGAGTCCAAAAGCGTTTCCGAGTCCTTGTAGAAGACGAATTATTTCCCACCCTCCAACCTCTCTCCCACAGGTGGGATGTGGCAAGTCTCACGCTGATCTATCGCAAGCCTTTATGGAAAATTCTCGGACGAACTACATTCCTTGGTTCCGCCAGGTCTAACTTTCACGGCTAGGACCCGCCATGCCACTTCCATTGTAGCAAATCACCCACATTCCCCCCGTATTCCCTCAGGGAGAAGTAAGTTTCACTCGAACAGTTTCTCCTCGTGAACCATTGCTCTGCGGGACCGACTCCCCAGAGGATGTTTTCCTAATTGCTACAACCATAACATGTTCAAGTCTAGGGTTAACCGTTATCTTCCCCTATTATTCGTACAAACTGCCTCCTAACATAACTCTCTACCTTAAGTGTCCTCGGACCTTTGTACAGGGGGAACTTTATTGCAAAATAAAGGATTAAGAAACAGGAGACTGTCGGTAGAAGAAAACAAAAGAGTGCTGAAGTGCTATGTAATATCAATTGTCCTATGTGGCAGTGAAAAAGGGAACAATTTCTTTACAGATGAAGACGAGGCTTGAGGTAACAGAAATATGGTTTACCAAAAGGATGCTGAGAATAATATGGACAGAGGCTGTAAGAAACGAGGAAATTTTACGAAAAGGACACTTATACAGAGTGTGGCAGAAATATCTCCTACCTATATACCTCTCAGAAATACCTCCCACATAAAAGTAAGACATGAGAGGTAATGGTGCTTTCATCTAGTTAATGTCTTATCATTACGTAGGTGGTCTTTCTGCCGCTCACTGTATTTAGAACCAGAAAGCAACAGTCGGAACTTCTGGGACACATAATGCGGAAGGAGAATTTCACATTTACAGAACACCCTAAAGGCAAGAGGGACAGCCCCAGTTACCGTTTTTCTTTTCTTTTTTATTCGGTATCATCTCAAGCCAGACAGTAAAGTCACTAAAACGCAAATGGTTACTGGGCGTGGAAGAATAAAGAACAGAAACATTAACGAGCAGGGAGAGAAAAAGATTAATCAGAAAGACAGTAGATAGCGATTGACATTGCACTTAAATTTTTGCAGTTGGCTGGAAAGCATAGAACCGGAAGTGAGTTCCACAAGCGATAAGTGCGAGAAAAGAAACATCTAACATACAACTTACGGCTACATCTAGCTAGATCAACCGTAAATTGATGAGATCTCGACGCCAGTCTGGTACTGCGCTTAAATTCATAGAGTCTAGGTACTATCGCAAAAAGCTCATCCGAACAATTACGATGAAAGTATTTATAAAAAAAAAGGCACAGAAAGGTAACCTTATGGCGGTGGGCAAATGACTGAAGCCGAGCCGCCAGATCAGGACTAATAATATTGCTGATTCTTATTTGGATTTTATCAAGGAGCTCAAGGTAAATAGCAGGGGAACCGGACCATATGCGGCAGCAATATTCTAAGCATGAATGAATGGTAGACTTAGAGATATATAAAATAGATTCTAGAGAAAGAAAGTATCTCCCACGACACAGGGAACCGACCTTCTTAGCAGCTAACCTAGCAATGGATTCAATATATCTTTCCACCTTATGCTAGCTTACAACGAGACTTTCCTGGAGGATAGCATCAGCCATGCTGATGGAAGGTAGAGAGGAATTTCGCAGACGATTAATGGAGAGAAGTTTAATTTCGGAGGCGTTAAAATTAGCAAGCCATCTTTTGCCCCAGTTAACCTCGGACTTGAGTTCGTTTTGGACACTGGCTGCCATTTTGACCTTGTCGGACTGATTAGCCTTAATGTCGAGGCAGAAGTAAATGGTTGTGTTGTCAGCGTAGATGGCAAGTTGGAAGCTGATGTCCTCGGAAATGTCGCTAATGAAAATTAAAAATAGAGTAGGACCAAGGATGAAGCCCTGGGGGACACCCGCATTAGTACGAAAGGGTTTAGATTTGATAGGAAAGACTAGATCAGCTCAGAACTGTATCCGCAAACACCGTAACCTTTCGGCTTGTGGAGAAGACGTGCATGCAAAACCCTGTCAAAGCCTTTAAAGATGTCTAAGGCTGACATACCGGGCTTCACTGTTTTTTTTCTCGAGAATGATAAGCTTTTTCTGCAAATATCATTGCTATATCAGCAGTTGGCGAGTAGAAGCGAAAGCTTTTTTCTGAGAAAAGGCCCCGCGATGACAGATGATAAACCAATTCAGCATTGATTAGGGCCGTTAGGAATTTCCCAAAGAGAGGTATCTTGAGTAAATCAATGGCAGAACATGTAGTAGGAACAATAGTGAAAAAGCAAACATTGCTAAGAGTTACAAACGACAAGAAGCCGTAGAAAGCCATGATTATGCATGTGCTCAAAAGTCATAAAAGACTACAAAAATGGTGAAAATCCCTCCTTTGAAAAAAGTAAATGTCTTGTCATGCAGATAAAGCTGATACAGTTCTTTTAAAGAAAGAGTTTTCTCAAATACAGATTTGTAATTGCTGTTGCATTTTGAAAACCCCATTCTGCATGAAATTTATATTAAAATCTTTTTCCTTCGCCTGTTTTGTCTCCTCAGGGGACACAATTAACTTGTCACTACTACTCTCACCACCAACACTGTCTTCTTCCTTCTCTAGGTTTTCGTTTCTATATCAACAGATTTCAGTTTTTCTTCTACTTTTTATTACTGTTTCCAGTCGTCTTTTGCGACAATTCGAGACAGAATATAGATTTCCGCTGGAAACATTTGCACAAATTTATCATTATTATTATTATTATTATTATTATTATTATTATTATTATTGTGCTTGTCCTACGCTTTATTTGTTCACATGACCGTTACGCCTTGCCAATACCTCATAAATAATGAAAGATACCGTTTTGATCTCGTGGAAAGGAGGAAAGTGACAGTACGTGGTTTCAGCGAGAAAAGGAATGAATGTAAGAAAGAAAAAACTGCTATTTTTTTTTTATTAAACAACTGCTATTTTTCAAAATCGATTTCACCCCATGCAGGGCAATAAAGCCACTAAGACGCAAGGGTTACTGGGCGTGGAACAATTAGAAACAGAAGCATTATTAACGTCTTTCTTTTTATGTGCCATGTCCTCTATCTCTTGCAGCTCTCAACAAGTTCCTTCCCTCTGCTTCCCCCCTCCCTGACTACGTTCTGTCATCCACTTACTTAAATCTGCCAGGTTATGTCACGCGTTGATTTCCCATGTCTCTCTTTCCCTCTATTCGACGCGGGAGTATCAGATTCTCCAGGCCCTTCTTCCTCATTATGTGTCCCTGAAACTTCAGCTGCCTCTTCCTGATATCAAGTATAAGCCTCCTCCTTGTTTGCAACCTCTCTAAGACCTCATCGTTGCTTACACGCTCGGTCCATGATATCCTTAGCATCCTTCAAGAAAGAAAAAAGAAAGAAAGGACGGAAAAAAGAAAAGAAGGAAGAGAAGATAATATCTCCTGCCAATACCTCATAAATAATGGACTATTCCGTTTTGATCGGTGTAAAGAAAGTAAATGACACTAGTTGGTTTCAGTGAGAAAATGAATGAAAGAAAGAAAGAAAGAAAGGAAGAACGAAGGGAAGATAGAACTGTTTAACGGCGATTTCAGTGAGATAGAAAAAAGTTTTCAATTTCAAATCTTTTCATTTACTTCTTAAAATAACAACCAGCATTCATATTTATGATTATTATTGCAATATTTTGTTAAAGTTGTTAAGCTCAAATACTTACCGGTGCGATAGGGGAATTTCTACGAATATTTTATTGTCGTAGAACTTACTTTAAGAATTAAGATTCATCAGACTATTAAAATAGGAAAACCGTGAAATTTCCACGGGTTAAAACTAATTGTTATTATTATTTTGCCTTTCCCTTGTTTAATACGAGTTGCTCCCAAGTCTGAAATAGAAAATTTAACACAAAAAGTCATTTTTCGTATCAGAGGCTGCAAACAGATGAGGTGCCATGCAATCGGACAAATAATTTAATTATGTTCATTGCATGGAGAGAAATCTTCGCAAGATGTACAACTATACGAAGTTTAATACACCCATCTCAACAACCAGTTTGATAAGCGTATATCAAGCTCATGCATCATAGACAAATATGTGCGATATTGTGAGAGGTGATGAACCAACTCATAACCTTGTTGTTGAGACACAGAAACACTTAAATTGGCTAACTATTCTCCCACTTAACCATTCTCCCACTTAACCATTCTCCCACTTAACCATTCTCCCACTTAAGATGTTTCCAAGTTTCAGTCTTATTCAGGTTATACATAAGACAAAAAAGTGTAGAAGCATAAAAACGGTTTTTTTATACTTTTAATCTTTTTATAACGTTTGTATATAGGATTAAAACGGTTAGGATTGATTTTTTTTACATTTATCATCTGCATTCTTTTTGATTTTTTGCATAACTTGAAGAATACATACATAATGTGTGATACTAAATTCTGAACAGTTTTCCATCATTATTATTATTATTATTTCTGCTATGGACACACATTGTTTTAAACGTGGTGTGTTGTATAGCCACATTTCATGTTAATTTTTTTTTTTTTTTTTTTTTTTCATAAACAAAGTTTTCTTTTCTAGAAATTTTCTGGGTCTCTAAGCTGGGGTTTCAGGGTATTGTTGTTTTGTTTTTTGTTTTCAATATTATTATTTGTTTTAATTTCCATTTTTTTATTTTCAATTTCAGGTCTTTGTAAGTTTTCAAACGATTGCTATATTACAATCCGCTGGACAAGCCATATCAAGTAATGAATTTTGACAATAACATTTTTCAATGTCTGTCTGTGTGGATGGATATCCCATAAATGGTGAATCTTCTAGTTTTCCATCAGTGTTTATTATTTTATTATTATTATTATTATTATTATTTGTGTATGTTATGGTACTGTTATGTCAATAAGCATACCCTTCCTGGATTATCTTGTCTTTTATGATAATATCTATTATTATTATTATTATTATTATTATTATTATTATTATTATTATTATTCTCCAGGCAAGCAATACACTTATACTCAAAATCAGAAAGAAATTGAAATTGGTTGATAACTAGGAAGGGTGGTTTGGAGAATGCGACGCTCACAAATCATACGGAAAGCCAAAGGGAATAATCGGGCCACTTACATAGGAAAACTAAACCTTTTTATATGAAAAAGCATTTTATCTACATAATATACTCCACATGACTATCATTCTGTTGAAAACATTCCTCAAAGTGTGTCCACTGCTGAAGAAGACGTCCATGCACAGCTGAAGTTATGGTTGTAATGGCGTTGGTGATACGTTGATTAAGATGATTTATGTCTTGCATTATTTCCTGATACACTATGACCTTCAAATGATACCACAGGTAAAAATCAAGTGGGGTGAGGCCTGAGGATATGGGAGGCCACTTTACAGGACCACCCCGACTAATCCAAGCATCTTTATTCAAACGCAACTTCTAGAATACCTGAAATATAAAAAAAAAAAAAATACAATTTTAAAAACCATATGTATGGAAACTTATGGGACACCTTGTAGTGCAAATGGATAGCGGAACATTAGATGGAAGGCAAAAACACAAACATTGCTAAGAGCTACAAGGGTTAGGAAGTTGTAGAGAGCCATGATTAGGGGCAAGAAACATAGAAGAAGAAGAAATTACTTTTGGCGGGTTATTTTCTGGTTAATATTAAACGATTGCACACTTTCGGAATGTGTAGATATAGATACAGTTTGATTAACACGTCAGTATTCTAAATGTTAAGATGTAGACAATAATAATAATAATAATGGCCGACCACTCCTTTCCGAGCACACCCATCTGGTAAGTTGGCTAATCAATCACTGCTGCAGACGCCTGCTAAGGCACATTAGCTTTTGTTCAACACCCACAGAGCCCACTTGCGGTTTATACGGCAATTGTGCTGATCGGACCTTAGTTGCAGTTTCTGAGAGAATGCGTATATGCTAGCGAGATCAACAGTCTAACAAGGCCAGTTCGCTGAAATCCTCGGCCACAATGACCTCTGAAATTGGGCTAGCACAACCATCGACAGCTTCTGAACAGTTTCATTTACACAATTTCACTCTAAAAGGCGTCAGACAACCAATAGTAGTGTTGCCTTGCTTCACATTGGGATCTCCTCCCAATGTCAATAAGATCATGAAAGTCCACTTCGGGACACATTGTCCAGGTTGAGATTTGAATCCGGGTCTCATTATCGGGAAGCGAACGTTCTACATACCAGCTCAGACATGTATATTGCAACTAAAACTTCTATCACTGTGGTTGACCTTTCTCCTTTTATTCTAATATATACTGGAGAGAGAATTAGAAGCTGAACAAGGGAGGGACATTTAATCATCATTTTAACAAAGTGCCTATCTCTTCGGACTACTTTCGATCACATGAAAAGAGACAAGTGGAATTTACGGATTCTGTATTCGTTTTTTTTTCTTCGTATTTTTCTTCTTTGTTTCTTTTCTTCCCGTTCTCCTTTCCCTTTTCCACCTTTTAACATTTTTTGCCTCCTTTTCTTCTTCTTCATTACAATTTTTCCTTTTAAAATGTTTTTTCTACTTAACACTTCGAGTTCTTCTTCATATTTTTCTTCTTTTTCTTCCTTTTATTCTTCATTTTCCTTTTCTTCTTCCCGCTCTTCCACTATTTTCTTGATCGTCATCTCCTTTTTTATCGTCATTTTCTTTTCTTTCTTTCTTTCTTTCTTTCTTTCTTTCTTTCTTTCTTTCTTCGTTAGCATTATATTCTACCTCCTTTTCTCTTCAACATCTTTTCAATTTTTTCTTTTTAAATCATTTTCCTGTTTTAATCTTTTATTTTTTTCTCCCTTCGTATTTTCTTCTTTTTCTTTTCTCTCTTTCTTCCTTTCCTTCTGCTTCTGCCTCTTCATCTTTTATTTATTGTTTTCTCCTCCTCCTCCTCCTTCTTCTTCTTCTTCTTCTCCTCCTCCTCCTCCTCCTTCTTCTTCTTCTTCTTCTTCTTCTTCTTCTTCTTCTTCTTCTTCTTCTTCTTTACCATTTTTCTTTTTCTGTCTCTCCTCTTCCTCTTTCCATTCGTTTTTACATCATTCATTTTCTCCATAATATTTTATTAATAACATAAACATTTTCCTATTTTCCATTCAGCATGGCGCTCTCTATCGTCTCTGGTGTTATTTTTAACCGAGATTATCGGCTGGTCGCAAATAATGCGTTGACAACTAACCACAGCCCTCACGACACAGTCATCATCACTCCCAGCGACAGCAACAACAACAACCACTGTAGACAACAGCTAGTCTATTATTACACCAGCTTTTTATCTCTTACAAGTATAACGTAAAAAAAAAACAAAAAACAATTCTCTTTTAATGGATGGTTTAATTCTACCTGAAAAACCGATTTCAAGACAAGATATTTTACAATAATACAACTGCTATTTTTTTTAAATCGATTTCACCCCATGCAGGGCAATAAAGCCACTAAGACGCAAGAGGTTATTGGGCGTGGAAGAATTAGAAACAGAAACTTCTCAACCAATAAATCCTTAAGAATTTTAATATTTAGTCAAGTTTCTGGGAAACTGACAAGATTATGACACGTTATAAGAGAACATACATTCATTTTTTGACATTTTAACTCATTTTTATTGACAATTTTTGTTACTTACTAACAGTAATTTTACGATTATAAAATTAAACAGATCGAAAATTAAAAAAAAGGCTTCTAGCTAATTTTGTACTCTACAGAAGACAGTGTTAATGGTAGACACAAAAATAAAACAAATGAAACTATTATAAAAAAAGGTAGTAAAGGGAGGTAGGACAAAAGAACTAATCATCGATTGTAAGAATACAATGTATGGTTGTAAGCAAAAGGGGTATCATAAGTTGCGACCTACAAATTGGAAATGACAAAATCAAGCAAGTACGAAAATTATTCCCTTCATCTTTGGGGAAACTGTCTAGTATTCACTACATTGCTACAGGAGGATCTATATTTCATAGCAATTCAGCATTCGTTGTTTCTGATTTATCTTGTTTCTTAATTTGTTGTTTAGCTTTTGGAAGGCATCTTTCGTTAACCCAGTGCGACTTCACATTTCAGTATGCCACATTTTCCATCATCTCTTAAAACACCTTAGCATCTATCTATCTATCTATCTATCTATCTATCTATCTATCTATCTATATATCTATCTATCATGGTAATATTAGCCGTTTCCTTATAAGGAAACATTCGGCACCATTGACTGAGCAGCCAATGTTGCTATCGGTTGAAATCTTTATCTTAAAATCATTTTTCAAGAAAATAGGTTTCTGAAGTTCAGTAGCTATTATCCAGTATTGATGGGAGTTTCCTTACTAACCTTTTATTTGAAGTCGTGTGGAATGTCAACATCTTGATCAAGTCATTATTTTCTCTTCATTATTTTCTTATCCACTTTAGCTGTTGCTGCTGTTGAATGTCATTAAGTGATATCTTTTCTGTCATCTGGTACATTTTCTTTGTTTGTGATTGTGTAGCTCCAGTCCGCAATGTCCGAAGGAGGATGATCTTTGTCTTTCCTGTCCCTCTTTCCTTCGATATGACCTGTGAGTGTCAAATTTTCTTAGACGCCTTTCCTCATTATGTCTCCTAGAAATTTCAACTCCTTTTGACTCTAAGTATAAGCGACCCTTTTTTGTTTCCATTTTCCTTAAAAATTCCAAGTTACTCGCATTCTTCGCCAATTGGTATTCTCAATTCCTTTCTATAGAATCATATGTTTATTGCTTAAATTATTCTCTTCATCTTTGAGGAAACTGTCCAATATTCACTACACTTCTATATAGAAGGATCTATATTTCATAGCAATTTAGCAGTCTTTTCGTTGTTGCTGACTTTTCCTGTTTCTTAGTACTTTGTTTTGCTTTTATAAGGCATCTTTCCCTAATCGGACGCACGTTCGGATTTTGGTGCTACATTTTCCTTTTTCTGTTAAAACACTTTCCAGATGTTTAAAATTCTTTACTTGTTTTGATGTTTACATCTCCAATCTGTAGTTCGCATCTTGGATTTTTTCTCTTGCCGACGACCATACATTCTGTCTTCTTGCAATTGATGATTAATTATTTCTTGTCCAAATTGTCCAATATTCACTGCCCTTCTATATAGGAGGATCTATATTTCATAGCAATTCAGCAATCGCAGTTTCTGACTTTTCTTATTTTTTAATATTTTGTTTAGCTTTTAGAATGCATATTTCGTTAAGCCAGTGCGGTGTGCCACATTTTCCATCATCTTTTAAAACACTTTTCAGATATTTTATCTTCTGTACTTGTTTTGATGTTTACATCTCCAATCTGTAGACTTTTTCTCTTTCCAACGACCATACTTTCTGTCTTCTGAAATCGACGGTACCCACATCAAATTCCAACCGATCTGATATTTTTTAAAAAGTCTTTTATCCCTTCAGGACATAGGAGATCATGACTCTCAACAATTTCCTTTCCTTTATTATATGTGAATTGCCTTGGGAAAGATAGTAATTTCCCGTCGCCATTTCCGCGATATTGAATTCAGAATATTCCTTTTTCTGAACTGTCTGTCAGTCAAGACTAGAGAACCGAGTCTAACCCACTATTTAATCCATAGCTGGCTTCGGAATGAAAAAACGGAATCATGCCTTTCACAATCACATTCCGTCTTATTACAGAGAGCAAAGCATATAATTAGTCAGTTATGTTCCATGCTTGATACACGCTTAGGCGATCGTGTATCTTTCGATGCATGTCTGACGAGGCAGATTTTTTTTCCTGCAGTAGGTTGCCATTTCTTTCTGCGGTAGACCAGTTGCCATCCAAGTCTATAGAACCGATCTGTCATGCTATTTACCCATAGCTGGTAGGGAGAAATAGAGGATCCATACTTTTCCCAAAGGTATTAGCACGTATGTGAATATCAGTCAGTTATGTGCCATGCGTGATACATGCTTAGGCGATCATGCATCTTTCGATGCATGTCTGACGAGGCAGATTTTTTTTCACGCATTAAGTTGCCATTTCTTTCTGCGGTAGATCAGTTGCCATCCAAGGCTATAGAACATGATCTGTCCTGCTATTTACCCGTAACTATGGGGAAAAGAAGAGGATTCATATAAGTTTCTCTCTCTCTGATGAGACAATCTAGCATTCACTGTCATATAGGAGGAGTGATATTACATAACATTTCAGTACTATTTTCACTGATCTACAAACAATTCTTTTTAATTCTGTTCCCCTTCAGGACGTAAACAATCATGGCTGCCGTTTCTTTATTATCCTGAATTTCCATGACTTCTTTGGAATGATCCTGAAATGATTTTCCGTTGTTTTCACCATGGTTTTGAGTTCAATGCCTTCATTCTGCTAGACTGTTTGACATCCTGGGCTGGTGAGTCTAGCCTACCCTCCTATTTAACCCGTAGTTGGGAAGAGAAGAAATAAATCCACCCTTTCTAAATCACATTACCTCGCATTACAAAGATGAAAGTATTCATTTGTTTATAAAAGTATTTTTAATTTTCTCAAACACTTCAATAGAACTTTGCTTGTTTACAAACAATTTTAATGCCTTCTCCCTTTAGGACCAAAGAGATAGATCATGGCACTCCACAGCTTCCGTTTCTTTATTATCTGCGCATTTCCATAACTACTCCGAAAAGACAATGGAGTGAATTCCCTTTTCCTTCTCTACGATTTTGAAATCAGAGTATTTTTCTCCTAGACTGGCTATCAACCAAGGCTAGAAAGAAATATTCTGCTATTTAGCTCATAACTGTAAGGCGAAGAGATGGACTCAGTAATTTTCCAGTGGCTTTTGTGCGAAAGTTAGACACAGACTAGAACTGGACTTGGACTCGACTTGACGATTTCACTGTTCCGATTAGATAAAGTACTACTACTACTACTACTACTACTACTAATAATAATAATAATAATAATAATAATAATTCTCATATTTCCATTTCAATGAAATTCAGGAAGTAGACACTGAGCATGGACATTGAAAACAGCCAAAGCGTAATCACTTGAATATTGATGTATCGACTGATATATAAACGATACACGATCAAATGACGTATCAGCACCCGTCCATTCATCCTTTGCGACATGCCTCCTTATTTCTGTTCCCTTTATAGCCATTCATTCAGTTATTTATTCATTCAGCCAGTCGGTCGTCCGTCCACTGGCTTAGTCATTCACACATTCATTCATTGATACTATTTACAACGCCATCTTCTCAGTCATACTAAAACAAAGAAACAGACAAATAATAAAAATAGTAACCGTATTAAAAAGGACAACAGGAGGAACAATAATAGTATGATTATTATTACTAAAGACAAAAGTTAAATAACTTAGAGAACAGAACCATCTAGTTTAATATGTTTTTTTTTAAATAAATAAATGTTAAAAATATTGATATCAGAAATTATAGTACAAAGCAGACGCTATCGTAGAAAATAAACTAGACAGCCAGATTGCCCCTTAAATCCGACAGAGAAAACTGGTCCCGTTAGTCGTCAACAGGCGAAAGAAGTTTTGCTTGAGACTGTAAATACATTGACAAAATCCAAAGAAGAATCTGCAATGTTATTGGTTCTGACCTAGCATCTCGGTTTCAGTCACTTTCCCACTGCTATAACGTATCACCCCCTGTTGTTTCTATAAATACTTCCATAGTAATTCTTCTTATAAACTTTCCTATTTGGTACCTAGACTTTATGAATTTAAGTGACGTAATAAACTGGTAACACGGTCTCACCATTATATATCAGATCATTTTGAATAATAAAGAACGAGTGATCTAATCTTATATTTTATTGAAATTTATTCATCAACTAGCAGCATGGCCCGTGCTTGATTCAAAAATTGTACGACTCATACAGCAATAGCTATCACTTGACTTAAAATATTTTTGCCCTTCCTTGCCTTTAAAGGAGTGCCCTATGCCTTACTTCTTGCCTATCTCACACTGCGAATTTTTTCTAAACTCTATACTAAACATTAAATCTGTTACGAAAAAAAAGAACTAAACAAAATGAACACAAAACGATCAGCTTTAAAAAAAAAGGACTCGTAACTGGAAAAAACCGAATGAAAAAAGAATGTTAACAACAAATACTTTTTTCACACCCAACCCAGTTCTGCGGAATCAGAATCAACGTTGAATTTAAGCAAGCGAATGAGACAATTGGAGTAAAGTGCCATGCAGATTTAAATTTTTCCCACTTGTGACGAATGCAGCTATCGATTTTTTTGCGTGCTAGCATTCTAGTTAACATTCGTGTCAGTTAGCTGTTGTCTCTCACGCTGGCCAATAGAATCTTCCTGCTTATTCGTGACAGCCAGCTATTGGCACTCACTCTGGCCAGTACAAAATGGCCGCAAACTACATGAAAACTGCCTTAGAAGCATGAAAAAATTGATTATTTGCACTATCGATGGGAGTTGGGAAATGCAATGTCGGTCTTGGCCTTCTCGCTAACTTGGAGCATGTGTATGTAAATATTGGTGCAAATCCGTCGAAAATTGCGGCCGTGCATTCACACACACACACACACACACACACACACACACACACACACACACACACACACACACACACACACACTCTCTGCCTTTTATAGATAGATATGTAGTTTCCATGATTATCTTTGACTTCTTTCCATCTGCTTACAAGCTTTTTAATCCCACTAATAAAGAACTCCTTTGGTTTCGAAGAGAAGAACTCTGAAATATCAGTTTCGACCTCATCATGGCTTTTGAGTTAATCCATCCAGATGATACTGTAAACTATGGAACAAATGGTAGTCTGAAGGAACAAGGTCAGGAGAATAAAGTGGATTGAGGAATTCTTTCCCAACTAATTTCTTCAATCTTCTAGAATGTGATTTTTGTAGTACAGGGTTGTGCATTGTCCTGATGAAACATCACTCCTTTTCGATTCACTAAAACAGGTCTTTTTTTTTCTTCAAAGCTACATTCAAATGCTCTAATTGCTGACAGTAGACTTGAGCATTGATTGTTGCATTAGTTGGTAGCAACTCAAAGTGAATTATTCCTTTGCAATCCCACCAAATTGAGAGAAGAACGTTCTGCACATGAAGTTCCTTTCTCAGTTGTGTTTAGGCCCTTTTCCCCATTACCAAGCCACTGTCTATGATATTTAACATTTTGATAAAAAA